ACACGGCCTTGTGGGTGATGAATTGTTTTCCACCTTACAACCCTTTTCTCACAGGAAAAACTTTGCAAGCCTCTCATTATTCTACTGCTATTTACATGGAAAATATTCAAACAAGCTACATTCCCAACTAAGAACCTCCCACACAGTATACATGGAGGTGAACTACCCTCATTCTCTTTGTATCCCATTAGTAAGCAATAAATTCCATTCTGTTAGCTTCTTTCCAAGAACTGTTGCTTTGTGGGACAAAATCTCAGTAGGATGTTTTCCTGACCACTACAATCTTAACCACTTCAAATATATGGTTAACTGTTATCTTTTCCATATATCTGCATAAATTGTGCCTCTTACTCCTTCTGTTCAACTAACAACTGCTTTCAGTAACCCTCTATCTCGAGTGGCTCTTGGGCCTTGTATAAGTAGTAAAAAAAAAAAAAAATTGAAGAAATATATATTTTGTAGATTGATGGTAAAATGACCTATGTAATTTATTTAAATTTTAAAATTACTGCTAATTTCTACCAGAAAATATTTTATTTAAAATTCAAGTTTAATTAGCAAAATGAATATATTAAAATCTAACACTTGATTTATAATTATTGATTAGTGACTGGATGTTGACAATAGTGTAATTTTAAAAATAATAACACTGAAAAGAATCCTAGTATTGTAAAAATGAACTCTTTTCCTCACTCTTCAAGAATAATTTTTTGAAACATAATCTGTCAATTTTTTCTCTTTTCAAATGATTTTCTCTTGACCTATCCTGAATTTTTAATGAAAATTTTCTTGTGGTTTATCATCTTTTAAATGGAATCCATTAATGGCCACTATAAAATTTGGTATTATTGGTTTAAAAATAAATATCTGGTATAAGTTTCTAAAAAATTCAGTATTATAAGTTTAGGAAAAAAAAAAAATCTAGTATTAATTATATAATTATGTAACTCAATTATGGATCAGAATCCAACAGAATGATAAGATAAGAAAACAAATAGGAAAATTTTAACAATATGACATGTTTCACTGTTATTAAAACTTCATCAGAGAATGCAATATGGAGAAAGAAAAGAAATTCTGGTATTTTTTTTACTTTTGTGTTGTCTGACTTTCATTGGTCAATCATGTTTCACCTGCATTTAACTCATTAAACCATATACATTAGTATAATTTGTGGCATTCTGAATTCAAGGGGAGACAATGCATCCACCCCAAGTTTCAGGAAATTAACCAATTCTGAGCCTACCTGAAAAAACAAATGTTGCTATATGTAAGTGTATAAAAATTCTAGTTTACCTATGTGGGAATTTCCACATAGTCAAACTAGAATTTTTTATTTATGGCTTTTCAAATTGCATAAACAAAAAATGATATAATTAAATTAAAAAAACTTGTACAGTGTTAAAAATAATTATAAAAACTTATATTCTATAATAAAGTGAGAAGAATGTACATTGTTTAGAGTGGCAAGATAAGCAGTATCTACCCTGATTAAAATTCTAATTTCCAGAACCTTTTATTTGAGTCAATGCTGTAAATCCAATGTATAATTTATTAAATGATTATCTTGTTGTGGGATGCTTGTATGTTTGGGTAAATATTTAGTCACCATTATGTTGTGGGAATCAATACTTGATGAGAGTGAATATTTATGAGCTCCTGGAAAATTTATCCTGCAAACAATATTGGCAGACTCAATATGAGTTCAGGTAAAAATAAAAAAACAAAGCAATAAATATAGAACAAACAACAATGCATGTATTTACAAAAGGAATTGCATGTGATGAAAGGAAAAAACATGAAACTAACGATAATAATGTTGTAACCCAGGAAAGGTTACTGAATGAAGAATAACCAAAATGGAGGTTGGAAATGAAATGGTAATTTTTATGACATCAACAAAATAAAATACTCGCCAGTGGCGTGAAGTAGGTAAAACACTGCTAGTGGTGAATTACTCAGACAACATATTATCCCCACTTACAATAGTGTCCAACGTATTTATTAGGATTGTGACATACCCATTAGTGTTCATAGGTACAGTATATAAAAAAATAATATATGTGTGTGTATAACAAGCCTGTGTGCGAGAGTACAAAAGCCAAAAGAGAAAACCATGAAATGAACATGCTCCAGTGGGGGACACTTTACCCATGTATGACTACATCTGAAGGCCAGGTCTAAAAAACTGTAAAAGAGGCTAGGGAGAGAAATGCATGCCTTTTTATTGGCTTGAGGAGCACCCGTAGTGACATTTTTTTGGTAGAGTCAAGTGAGATAATCCACAAATCTATTAATTTTTCCTCTGAGACTGTTATAAACTCATGCTTTTCAAACTCTTGAAAATAAGTCATGATGCTTATATTGGATGTGAAAAGATGTTACATTTGATAACCAATGATAAAACTAACAGAAATCTTTCCTCCAATGCAGTTGCCTTGAGTCTGCCATAGAAGTGTACAGATATGTAATATATAAAATTCAAATTTTTTTTTTTCTCTGCTTCCATTATCAGAATATTACCTAAATTTCTTTTAAAAATGTTTTGAAATATTTCCTTCTAGTCGTGATAAAGCTTTTGTTTATACTTTTTTTAACAAAAGACAATTAGTATCAAATAAAGTAATTACAGCAGAAACCAACATGGAACAAAGGTAAAACATACAAAGAAAGCAACGATCCTAACAAATATTCCATTTTTATCCACTAAACAATTTTAATTTGCTCAGCTTTTAAATCTTTATTTAGGTTTTCTCACCTGAGGCTTCTTTAAGCAAACAACGTGGGTGAGCTATTGTCTTGGACTTCTCAAATTGTCAAGTCTGTGAATCTGGAAAATTTTCTTTTGATGTTAATCGGTATATTGACCCTTTGTGAAACAAAAATATTTGACTTGCATGAACTTGTCATTCAAGTTCTGCAGATATGAAAGATATTTGAGGGCATACTCAGATTTAGCAACAAGAAACACTGGAACATTTCTAAATAATTTCAGGTGCAATTTTTACATTACGTTTTACTTTATGCTTAGTTCATTTTTTTTCTTTTGTGTGTGTGGAAATTTTTTTTCTATTTGACATTTATTTTTTGATATTTTAAAAAAATTTCAAAAAATGTATAACAAAAATTTAAAAATCTGAAACTATCCTATATGTATAGGCTTCTTGAATTATTTTATTTTTAAAATATTAAATTTGTCAATCAAAGATTCTCAAAGAAGAAGGATTTAAAAATCTTGAAAAACTCAAATGTTTTGAAATTCATTAATGATAAAATCAAGGATGTTTAATGGATATTGACATGGAAAGTGGAACCAGCAAGCCAAGTTCAAATTCCTGCTGGTCTGTTATGTCCACATTCATACATATGTTCTTGGGAAATTCATCTTTTCTCCTACCAGCTCGGGGCTAAATAGCAGGATAAACTGGACTTTCGAGCCTTGGTTGGCAATCGGAAAACTGAATTCCAATCTATGGAGAAGGTAACAGGATACCACTCCTCTATGTTTTACAAGAATGCATGATAATTCACAGAATAAAGTAAAGCAAACTGGAAAGACATGATCTCCTATATTCTGAAGGGGCATGAAATTTATTTTTTTAAGATTAAGTTTAGCTTTACTTAATATTTTATATTAGATCACAAGAAAAATTGGATTTTTTTCTTGTGATCTAATATAAAATATTAAGTAAAGCAAAATTTTAACATTAAAAAAGCTACACTGCCATAAATTGCCTGGTGAATTTTGAATTTTTTGTTTTGAAATGGTGTGTTAGGAATTCACCAGGCAAGTGAATGTACATTTTCTGGAAGAAATACCATGGTCTTATATTGAGTTCCATGGCAGTATGTATATTGACTAAGTTAGGCATAAGTCTGGCATAAATGTATGAAGAACCCTGAGGATCAAAATCTTGAAAATGAAGTACTGCTGCCATATATGGGCAGGAACTTCCCATCAACTTCCTCAATCACTACAATCTTAACCTGTTCAAGTCTATCTTCCCCATGTATCCCCATAAACTGTGCCTCTTAGTCTGTAACCCTCTACCTTGAGTAGCTCTTGGGCCTTTTACAGAGTAAACATTATTGTAAAAAAATAAATAAATAAATTGGCCTGTCTTATATAAAAAAGAACAATGGCTGATCCAAATGAGGCCACCATTGAAGGCAACTAGTCCAATGTTAAAGCTAATTACTGAAACAATAAACATGCTTTTTTTTTTTTTGTATTAGACAATATTATTCATTGGAAACAATGTAATGAGGCCACAAGGAACTTTTAAATATATATTCTAAATAAGATGCCTATCTCTTTATTACTGACTTAAAATTATGTTTTTCGTTGTTTAATCAATAGTTATGGGATTATCCGCGTCTTGTCTGTCAGGATATTCACTTAATGTCTGCTAAGTAGTGTTGTATAAAGTAGTATAAAAGAAAGAGCTCTCTTTCTCTCTCGCTCTCTTTCTCTCTGTATGCTACAGTTAATTATATAACTATATATTTCTCTTCTTTTATAAAATACGCAGTTCTGTATATAAAAGACCCATGTATATGTTGATTTCATTTATTTTGAAAGTATTCTACTGCATTTTTATTACAAACCTTTTTTTTTTTTTTTTTTAACTAATGTTCACCCTATGAAAGGTAGAGGGTTATTCAAGGAGGTTTTTGTGTGGTAAGAGGCACAGCTTATGAGGACATGTAGGAAAGATAATGGCTATCTCTAAGCTTGAACAGGTTAAAATTGTAGTGATCAAGAAAGTATCCTGTTGGGAGTTGCTTCCACAAAGTAGCATTTTGTAGGAAAAAAGCTTGAGTGGAACTTACTTCTTACTAAGGTAATATGAAGGGAATGAGGTTGGTTCACCTCGGTGTATGCTGTATGGCAAGTGGTAACTCATTGTTGCAGTTTTTATTATTTATTCTAGTGCAAAGTCCAGATTACTTTTCATTTTACTCCAATTGTTAAATAAGCAGCACTGATCTGAAGGGCTTATGGCCATATCGTGTTGAAACACCAGTTTTTGTACGATCACTGAAGTTAAGCAACATTAAACCTGGTCAGTACCTGGATGGGTGTCCACTTGGGAATACCAGTTGCTGTAACCTTGGATGTGTGGGATAATGCCTCGGAATTTGTTAATCAGAGAGCTGAGTTTCAATTTCAGTTGGGTTCATTATACGTGCAAAACCTCTTCGGAAAGGTATGAATCCACCCCTTCTCCCCTTTGTTATGGGTTAATTAGCAAGACTTTTATCACTAAATCATTATCTCCCCCCCAAAATCTTTATAATCAAAAAATATTTTCTGGCTTTAAATAACCTGTAAAGGGTTAAGTCATAGAAAAACAAATCAACAATCAACTTGTATCCCTTACAAGCTCATCTGATATGGACAATGCCTTTTAACACTAGGATGGCAAGCTCCTTTGACATCTTTATTTACATTACACCGTGAAGCAGCCATCTCTAATATATTCAATATTCAAGTCGGGAATAACAAGTCTGAGAAGAAATTCACAAATATTAGTATACCTTGTACCAAAAAAAAAGTTATATATATATATATATATATATATATATATATATATATATATTGTGTGTGTATAGATAGATAGATATGGGACATAAACACAAGTATTATTGTTGTGAGAAATTTTTCAATGCATTTACTTTTTTTATAAATAGCCTAAGTTTCAAAAAAACAACACCTCGGCCATTCAAGGTAAAACCTAAAATATCAGCTATTCCACTGAATATTTTTTAAAGAATTAAATCTGAAAATTTGAAGGTGTCAAAAACGACACCTCGGCCATAAGACCTTTTACAGACAAAAAGTTATGTATGGTAATTTATTTCAAGTACCGTTGTAGGGTGCTAAACAACACATTTCTTTTTTCCCCCCAACACCACGGTGAAGCTCCTTATGAATGTTGGGTATGTAACTTGTGCTACTTTGTTTTTATTTTAGCCATAATATCTGAAGAAATGGTTTTAAAAAGAGTAATAATATCAAGTGTGGGTAACAGAAAGTGAAATTGGCAAACCGAGTTCAGATTTTGGCTTAGTCTCTAACATTCATTTTCACACTAATGATTTGTTAAACTCAACGTTGATTCTGATTCTGCAGAACTGGGTTGGGTGTGAAAAAGTATTTGTTGTTAACATTCTTTTTTTCATTCGTTTTTCCAGTTACTGCAGTCCTTTTTTAAAGTTGATAATTTTTGTGTTCATTTTGTTTAGTTCTTTTTTCGTAACAGATTTAATGTTTAGTATAGAGCTTGAAGAAAAATTCGCAGTGTGAGATAGGCAAAAGTAAGGCATGTAGCAACATCAGCATGGCAAAGGGCACTCCTTTAAAGGCAAGGAAGGGCAAAAATATTTTAAGTCAAGTGATAGCGATTGCTGTATGAGTTGTACGATTTTTGAATCAAGCACGGGCAACGCCTGGCCATGTTGCTAGTTTTACTATAAATACATATTGTTGCTAATTATTTTTATGTAAAAATATATTGCTGGTATTTTTACTATAAATATGTATTTTTACACTTTCATACTGTTTGGTTCTTGTTTGGGGGTTCACTATTTGCCTCTAGCTGGGACCCTAACAGGTGCCACCACATGAGTCAGAGTGAACCTAGGATTGACAGCAATTAAGAGGTGGTTCCACACTCCTGAAAACCTTAGTTTCTGATCAGAGACCTTGCTGCCAGATGTAGTTTATCATCATACCCAGAACTATTCACACTAATGCCATTGGGAAAAGTATGAATTCATTTCTTTACCCTCTATACTAGTTATAGGTAAAATAGCTTGTTAAACTGTTCATTCTCACCTAGAATGGTTGTCAGTCTATAAAGACTATTCTGGATTCAAAAGTAATAGGAAACTACTTTTCCATATTTCTGAAGAATTCAGGTCAATTCAGATAAAAAAAAAAAAGAAAATGAATCTGTAGAGGGCCACGGATATTCATGTCCTGAAGGGACATGGCATTTTTTAAAATGTCCCAAATTTTATGCCTTATCTTACTGGTTGGTGAGAAGAGATTATGATTTGAGGATTCTGAAAAAAGGTAATCGTATTTTGCCAGATGACATGAAAAGAGGGCTGGACTATTTTTCTTTAATAAGATTTATTGAATATTCAGGCCAGTAGACAAAAATAAATAAATATACTGTTTAATAAATAAAAGGAGCATATACTCAAATACATGTATCCACTAAAAGTAATTTTTAAAGTAATAAAAAAATATGTCAGATTAATAAATAAAATATCCATTACTACTTTAGAAAATATATAAACAAAGACTTGTACCCACAGAAATAGAAAATAGATTTAAACAAAATGGACGTCATTATTTAACCTTTAGGACTCTTTCAGCCAACACTTTTTCATAATCGTAGGCAAAGCAAAAAATAAATATTTGCAATTAAAATTTATTTTAATCATGTTCCAACTTTCCCTCCTTATTCATTATTTCTTATTAATGTGTCTTCAATTGTTTTTTTGTTTTTTTTTGCTTCGCTTCATCAATTACCTTTTGAAAAAGTGTTGACCAAAAGGGTCCTAAAGGTTAAATAATGATGTCTTGTTTGTGTGTGTGTGTGTGTATATATATATGTATGAGAGAGAGAGAGTTTTTGGTTGGGGTAACTGATTTTACATGTCAATTCTGTTGAATTATTTAATATCAATATTTTTTTAATCTACGAGCATTTACTTTGTTGTGGCACCTTGCATTATTAGAAATATTCCTAGAAATATGATTTAATTTTTTCTTACTCAGTTTATTAAACAGGTTGTTAATTTTTTTTTAAAAACGGAAAATAACTGAATTGAAAATAATTCACTAAGAGTGTACTAGACGATCCTAAGGAAAGAAGAAGGAAAGAAAGGAAAAAGGAAGGAAGGGAAGAAAAAGAAAGAAAGAGAAATGTATGACGCATGACCCAATTGAGGGTGGAGATAGGAGTCAGAAAGAGATTTAGGTCAGCGTCTTGGCCGATTTTCGAAAGACAATTGGAAGAATAGAATTATAAATAATAAGAAGAAAGAAAGAAAAAAGACATGATATCAAACGGGTTTGATGTAGACCAGACACAAAGCATCTGATTTTGGAGAACTCCTTATCAATTTGGTTTAGAACAATAGAAATGAAATTTTTAATCAGAGAAAAAGTGTTTTTGGGTTGAGGGAGTGACGGTGGAGCGATATACAGATCTTGACCTGTTAAGAATTGGACACCCACGTTAATAAAGTAGAGACATTTCAATGTAGATAATTAAGATTTTCGACTATCAGGAAAAACAAAAAGATAAAAAAGAGGGACAATTGCTTTTGGCTCACAGAGGACGCCAAGAAGGCGGAAAAGATCCTTTCTAAAGTCAAGACTAATTAGCAGCGGGCTGTTTGACAAAGTCCAGGTGAGAGAAAGCCAAAGATTGTCATTTTAAGGCGACGTGCAAAAAGGGGAAAAATTGGATTTTGTTTTTTAAACAAGAACGATGTAACCACGCCCGCAAACAGAGGGGGAGAGGATGTTCGATCAATAACAATTGGTCGAATACGATCCGTGACCTGCGGAAGAAAAGGAAAGAAATGTTGACCAATAACAATTGGTCGAATACGATCACGTGACCTGCGGAAGAAAAGGGAAAGAAATGCTCGATCAGGAACGATTGGTTGAAAAGCGGTCACCTGACATACGAGAGACTGAGAGAGATGGATGCCCCCCCACCAAAAGGTACTGCGAGGAAGTAGGGGCGAAAACAATAGCGATAATGGAGAAGACAGAATTAATGCAGTTTTGGAATTATCGAGAAAACCCTGACGCCGACAGACCCACCCCAGTTTGTTTCAATAAAAGCAGGGCCCCGAAATCAGTTGACAAAAATCAGTTCATCCCCGGACGGCAGCGAGAAAAAGAACCCTCAGACAAGAAGAACTTCCAGCCCAAGTAGATGAAGAAGAAGATTGCCTGAAAGCCTGAGAAGAATTGGAGATGCAGACAAGCCGAAAGTCGATGAGAAGTTAAAGTTCAGCTCTGGACGGCAGTGAGAAGAGACCACCTCAGACGACAGAGAGTTGCGGCTAAGTTGAAACAAGAAATCTTCCACCAAGTTGAAACAGGAAAACTACCAGCCCAAGCAGACGAAGAAGAAGAAATACAACTCAAGTCGGAGAGAAGAATCAACTGCGAATGATCGATAGAAATTAGCCCCAGTGTCGAACTGAACCACACTCCGACATACATACATGATTCTAGAAAGTAGGTAATTCGACATTTTCTATTGTGAGATAGAAGCTTGGTGCCATAGTCCACAGAGCGGGTCGGGAAATGAGAACACTTTTGTTTTTATGTAACGGACTTTAAGATATAAAAGGTTGTTACCCTTTTTATCAGCAATTTTGTTTGGTGTCGTGAGTTTTTATTTTATTTGTGTTTTGCCACCCCGTCGGACTCAACTTGTATCGGCCCCGATCCTGCTGGTCCCGTCTGTCTAAGATCTAAACACAGCGTGGGTAGACAGACCGGAGATCGGTATAGTTGCTTTAGTGACCAGGTATTGGAACTAGTCGGGAAAGGCGAGGCTGGTGATCATCTGACCAAAGGGTTGGAGCGGCACGCTTGGACCCAGGAGGAGCGACAGGAGGGAGGACGTCACCGATTGGCGCCCGTAACCAAAGGATCCGACACTGGGCCAGGTGTGTAACCGTCACAATGGTGCCGTGACCAACGGATCAACCCTGAGACAGCCCGTCACATATGGTGCCGTGGTGACCGAGGGATTTCAATTGAGAAGACCACGATCGACCGGCCCGTTGAAAAATTCAGACAGAACTCAGAACGACCCTAGACCAAAGGAAAAGAAAGAACAGAATCATCTTAAGGTAGGACACCTTGTTTTGTTTCCCAACCTCGATTGTTGCTATATAGACTGTCTTTCTCTGTAGACATGTCAGATTATGAGTCAGATAGAGCAGTGGGGGGTGAAGAAGAAGTAGGGCGGGGGGTTGTCAGTGGATCTAAGGAAGCTGTTGGGTGGACCGAGGGTCCCAGTATTTGATGGCAGCGGGAAGGAGTTTAGGAACTGGCTGGCAAT